GTAGTCCTCGTAGCCGGGGTCGAACCCCATCAGTCCCAATTTCCGGGAGGGGGGCCCTTGTTTTGGGGGTAGTCATGGATTTACGCGCATGCGTAAATCCAGGCGCTCTAACATATGTATTCAAGTTTTTGAATTTCAGCCGATTCAAAAATATTAGGCCCGAAGAGATCATGCAAGAGATTTATCCTTACATGCGTTTTTTACAGTATGAAGTACCCCAAGTTGTGAGAGGCATGGAGACTCACGTTAAACAAGCTGCAAGTTGAAACTTGCAATTTGCTTCCTCCGAATCGTAAGTAGTGTACGAAGTCCTTATATGAGAAAGCCAAGAATTTTAATTTTGCAATTTGATTCCTCTGAATCGTCGGTAGTAGATGAAGATTCATCTATGAGGAAGCCAAAGATTTAAAAAAAAATGAAAATGCTTCCTCATATAGGGACTTCGTACACTACCTACGATTCGAAGGAAGCAAATTGCAAGTTCCAACTTGCAGCTTTTTAATTATGGCACGAGAGAGAGCATCCTTCGACATTAAAAAAACACTCCCATTGACCCCCTGTAGCATCACTCTAGGGGCAGTTACACCCCCATGAAGTGAAAACACTTAACTGGCCAAAACTTCCGAACGCGCCGGCCAACCTGGTCCAGTTTCTGCGTGATATCATCTTTAATGATACTGCAGATTCTCATAAAACTATTGTTCTCGGAGAAGATCCCGTGACGGAGATCCCGAGATATCGCAAGCGCATCCGAAGCTTCCCCGCCATTTTTCATTAAGAATGCGATGAAATAGAAGTTTCTTATTTATTCCGCGTTGTAGCTGAGATTTCAACGATTAAAACGCGCTTTTAAACATCCAAAAATGAGTTTGCTAAGGGGTTAAATTTTTCATTTGAAAAAACGCCTAAATTTTGCGAGTTTCGCTCGAGGTACTCGATTGACAATTGCTTGGCGTGCGTAATAGGATGGTAGTCACCAGAGAACCTCGAACGAAACCCGCAAAATTTAGATGTTTTTTCAAATGAAAATTTTAAACCCTTAGCAAACTCATTTTGGGATGTTTAAAAGCACGTTTTAATCGTTGAAATCTCAGCTTCGGAAGTTATGGCTAATTAAGTGTTTTCACTTCAAGGGGGTATAACTCCCCCTAGAGTGATGCTACAGAGGGTCAATGGGGGTGTTTTTTTTTTAATGCCGAAGGATGCTCTTTCTCGTGTCATAATTAAAAATATGAATTTTCTTCCAGAACTACTAGTTCTCGCACTTTTGAAAAACTTCCAAAATGCACTATTTCACTCCAACCCTTGCTGTTCAGCCATTTTGTATCTGATCGGGATAAAACCTTTACCATTCGAACGGGAAGGAAATTTCCTAAAAAATATGTCTTTGGTTTTTTGAAATCGGTCATAGTTTCGCAGAAATACACAAAAATTCACGTGTTCCACTTCAATTGCCCGTTACTGTATATGAGTATATTGAACGTGACTTAGATCAATTTGACACCTCAGACTATCCTCCGGATAATGTTTATGATATACCATTGGCAAATAAAAATGTATTAGGATTAATGGAGGACGAATATAATGGAAAATTTATAGTTGAATTTGTAGGGTTGCGAGCAAAAGTATACCCTTTCAAAATTTTAGAAGAAATCAATGATAAGAAATGCGCGAAAGGAATTAAAAGATCTACATTAAAAACAATTACCTTTGATGATTATATTCAGTGTCTTTTACATCATAAAAATTTAATGAAATATCAAAATTTAATTCAAAGTAAAAACCATAATGTTTATACGGTACAGCAGAAAAAGGTAGCACTGAGCTGAAATGATAACAAGAGGATTATTGTTCCGGGTACGACTGATAGATTGCCATGGGGTTATAAAATGTGAAGTATATATTATACATCTTGTGACGTGCTGGACCACGAGGGTGGCTCAGGGTCTCGCAAAGACAGCTATCTCGATTACGGGCGGTAGGGGGATCTCGAACAGAAAGAAGGGAACACGTGGTAGAATAAGAAAAAAAGTATAATTAATAAAGCAAAGTACAGAAATAAATGTAAAACCAAAAGCTACCAGCACAGAAAAAAAAAGAACAGAAAAGAGAAGAGAATACGGCGGCAGATGAGTGCACGCCCTGTCACGCGTGGGCTCGCGCGGGCGTACGCGGCCTAGGAAGAACTTAAGGGGACTCGGTGGAGGGAAGGGGGTTTCGGGGTTGGAGGGGGGAACTTATGGGCGCCAGCTATTTGTACGGCGTAGCACCGACGAGTGACCCCGAAAGGTCCTCGTTTGTTTACTCGACGGGATATGGCACGGCTAGCGGAGGGAGAGCTGAGGGGAGCTCAGGGAGGAAGGTTCTCGATCGCAAAATGGCTACTTGAATATTACCTCGGTGGGAACGCGAAAAGGGAAAAGGGAGTGAGAGGAGAGGGAAGGGCTGAGGGTTGTCGGGGAGGTACGCAAGATACTAAAATTAGGGCGCACGCAATATACCACGGGCCTCATTGGTAAGGGCAGAAGGCCCGTCGCAAATACAAATAGAATCACTAGAAGAATGCCGGACCACGTGGGTCGGCTCGTGGTGTCCTGAAGGGACCTACAAAATCTACGGCGCAATTGCTAAGAGCGGAGAGGGCAGAAAGGGGTAGCTAGGATTATTCAAGCACTCAAACGTACTCACGCCAAACGTTCTTCACACTGATAATCCAAAAAGTATAGCACAATTCTACTCTCACTCGCAATCAAAATTCGCAACGTTATTCACTAACGGCCTGGCTCGAAGTGGTGAGATTTCCGGTCGTCCGGGTCCTCGTGGGTCTCCAGGGCCTCGCTGATTGGCTGGAGCTGCTCAGCTGAGAGGGCTACGCGCTTCGGCATTGGTTGGCAGTTCCGGCATGGCAGGGCATTGGTCTGGTTCAAATCAGCCGTGTTGCCGGGCCTTCCAGGGCCTCGTGTCGGCGGCACGGCGCTGGCTTTGCCGGCACGCGTGCTGGCTGCGTGCGCCGGTCAAGATGGCGGCCTCCAGGCCTGTCAAAATCCTCCCGGGCACGTCCACGGTCTCGGAGGGAGAGGGCTCCGCCGCTGTCACACGGGACTTTTATCTGCCCGTGTGACGGGACTGCACCGGGGTTGCATGTATCGGTGGTGATGGTGGTGACTGGGCATCCATCCCACGAGCGACTCGATCTGTTGCTCCTCCTGCCCATGCCATCCCTGCCTTCCGCTGCCTCAGCGACGTACCCGCTCTCGCGGTCCATCCAGGGATGCTGTGTCCTCGCTGTTGGTGCTTGTTGTTGGTCCTCGGAGATGGTCGTCGAGCCAGTGCCCTACGGGGGGGAGGAGAATGGTGGCAGGGAGGGAGGGGTGGAGGGAAGGGATCTTATCCTTAACGTAATGGCTAAAACATCTAAATAAACGCAGTTAACAATATTTAAAGATAATACGCAGTACCCGAGGCCTGTGGGACCTCGAGCCAGGAGGCGGAGAAGAGTCTGTAGTAACATTTTTGTTACAATTTATATAATAAGAATGTAAAAAATTAAAAAAATACAACGTATGCTCTACGTTATTGCATATCACTTAATCTTTCAACGCAATATAACGCCAGTTCCTAACCATCTGAATTATTCCTTCTATTCGTTGTCTTAATAAATATTTCTAAGAAGTCTCTCACGCTCTTTGTAACATAGAAAGTTTAGAGGTAGGGAGAACGGTTTAAGATGGCGCTTGAAATCGCTACAACTCAGTTCAAAAAATGACTGAGGAGATCTTTTACGTTCAACTACTTCCGAACGTTTTCGTACCTATTGAATGGGTACAAGATGGGCTACAACAAAGTATCCGTATATCAGTGGAAAACGCTTTAAGAATGAGTAGTGCTCTCAACCACATTTTATGTGTAATCGATATTAATCACGTTACGACCATTAAAGAAGTGTATAATAACCAAATTTGGTTCAGAAGAGTATAAGGTAAGCATTGAAGAATTATTATAAGTATTTTTCATTCTTTTATTTTTTTTCATGATATTGTATATAGTCGATTATGAATTTTTCACTAATTTTAATAAATTTAATTTGATTATAACAAATAATCTGTTGGTTTTACAGTAATGTGAACAACAACAGTAGTAGTAGTAGTAGCAGTAGTAGCAGAAGCAGCAGTAGTAGTAACAATAGTAGCAAAAACAGTGTACTAAATGTAAAAGAAAAATATAATAATTTCTTTATATACTCTCTGTCTCTCGCACTATTTGCCGGACTCTTACTCCGACCCTCTCTACCTCAAACCTAGCAGCCTGAGCGGCCGTGCATTTCCGTAACCGTCCGCTCCCGTTCGTGTATCCAGTTGCGTTTGCTGATTTTACGCGACCCCAAAGATCAGCACCTACGGTTGCGTTTCTCGATTTTACGCGTCCCCAAAAATCGACAGGATCCGTTAAGCTATCGCCTCTTCTGATAGGTTCCGTCAGAGCTCTCGTTCTTGGTGGAGTTGGGCCTGTTCCATCCCAACTCCCAGTTTATACCGGCTCGTCAGTTCCCGGTGAAAAAAGAATTGACTGGCGCCCGCCTGGCTTGCGGATGCACGAACGACGGGTGGACGGCCGAAGGTAACGTAGGTTGGTTCTCGAAGATAGTCGTTCCCGTATGTCTTGTTATCGGTGTCGGGTCAAGTTAAGAAAAAATTACGTTACAAATGGCGCCCAACGTGGGGCCAGCCAGCGAATAGTGTGTTACCGTATGCTCTCGACTACCTTTGCTCGCGAAGCAATGCTCCCGAGCACTTCTCGTTATCGATCTATGCTCCCGATTACGAGGATTTTTCGTAGATCCCGAAGCGGTCCTGCTCGTTTGGCGATCGGTCACCAATCCGCGGTAGCTATCGAACCCTGGGAAAAACTCCGATGCACTCTGTTGCATCAGGCTCTCGCCTTGCAAAAAAATTGCAAGTCATCGAAAACGTTCTCGGTGAGGAAATTTCGAATTTCCTCCTCTCGCGATCCCCACCCTTCGGTGACGTTCTCGACGCGGTTACCCCTAGGTGACAGCAAGGTTACCGCTTTATTGTGAAGCTTAGGCTAACACGGTAAACGGTCGCGAAGATTCCCCTCCGGGAATCCTCGACTTTGAAAAGTCGCGTTCTCGTTCCCCGCTTGTGACGCTCCTCGAGTTGTCATACCCGGGTGACCCTACCGGTCATCAAGGTATTGTTGCCACGAAGACGGTTATCGAAACGGTTCCCGAATTCTGACAAACAAGTTTTTCAGAAGATTTCGAAGGACCCCCTACCCTAGAGTCCTGGTTCGCGACAGCCGCAATTGGCAGGCTCGCGGTCATTCTGTCCTGGTACCTCGCTGTGCGCAGACCTTCTTTTGGGAAGCGACACGATACCAAGGCACATTAGTAGGTCGACTCCGATCACCGTAGCTATCGTCTATAGAACCTTGCTCTCGATTTAAAAGACCATCTCGAGGTTTGCTCTCGCTTTAATAGTTCTCCCGAATCGCCGGTCAGTTGGGAATTTCGAGGGAATCTCTTGTGTTCCGTGGGCGTGCTCGCGAAGTCCGACCTTCCGGCATAGGATACCGTCGGTGTTCCGGTACACGCGTACACGCGTAGGCTCGCGAATTCCTTCGGTGGAAACTGTCAGTGACAGTCAGCTCCCGATTTCCTTCGTCGGTCGCCCGTCATGGCCGAGGAGCAAGGGAAAGTGTTGCTCCCGTGCCCACCCCTGGGTGAAGAAAGCACGCCTCTCAACGCCTCAGGGGAGGACAATGCTCCCGAGACCGCTGTTCCGGGGATCCCGGCATCGCATCGGAGAAGGGCTCAGGCCTGGGGTCCGATGCCCGCGATCGCGACGTCCCATCGGCCCGCCGCCGTGAGGACGCATGCTCCCGTCTCCGACGATACTCGTCATAGGCTCTCGGTAAAACCCGGTCCGTCCAGGGGTACTCCCGGCACGACCCGCCGCAGGGTACAACCCCTGCGCGAGGAGTTCACGTCATCCGATGAGGATAGGTTCACGCGACGACGGCGGAGATTTCTGTCTCCTCACCGCGTGCTCCAGGAGGTCCGCCGATGGGGCCTCTCGTTCTCGGGCCGCCCCGAGGAAGACGTAGAGGACTTCATCTCTATCGTCGAGGAGGGTCGCGCCATGGTACCGGTTCAGGATGAGGACCTCATCCGAACGCTCTCGTTCTGCCTGACAGGCGTAGCCCGAACGTGGTATCGGGAAGCTAGCGCCCTGCTACCGGATTGGCCGGCCGCCAAGGCCGCGCTGAGAGAACGGTTCTCAGATCCCGATTACCAGATCGCGCTTCGCGAGGAGATCTCGCGGAGGACCCAGGGTGAACGGGAGTCAGCTCTCGAATATCTCGGGTGTATGAACGGGCTATTTTCCCGCCTGAGTCCACCATGGACCGACGGGGAACGCGTTCGGTATGCACACCGAAACATGCTCCCGACCTATCGTTTGGTGATCCCGTTGCACGATCGTCTGACGATGCGCGATCTCGAGCGCACAGCCGCCCGCCAGGAGCAGATCCTGCGGAGCGTAGGGACCCGACGACCGCCACCTGGACCGGAGGCATCCCTCTGCCCAGGATTCGCTTGTCGGGACTCACCAGCACCGCGCAGGTTTTCTCGACGCACCAACCTCCGGGCCGTAAACGACCTCGACGTTGCGAGCGACGACCAGCTCTCGACAGGGGAGGAAAACCCGGCTCACGATCTGCTCGAGGCAGTGCTACCGCCGCGTCAACAACGCGCAAGAACTATCGGAGGAAAACCACCCGGTCCCTCCGGATCTCGTACGGTTCCGAGAAAGGAACCGATCTCGACTTCCTCGCGGACCAACCACGCTCGGAGGGATGCTACCGCCGAAAAGCCACTGCTCCCGGAACGGGAGACAACGACCGCTCCAGCTCCCGATCAACGTGCCTTCGACTGTTGGAACTGCCGCCAGTCTGGGCACCGACATAGAGAATGTCCGGAACCCCGACGTCTCTTCTGCTATCGCTGTGGGCTCTCGGGCGTGAGTACAGCGCGTTGCACCTTCTGCAACCAGGGAAACGCGCAGAAAGGCGCGTGAGCCAGCCTCCCGCGCCTCCAGACTCGCCAAGCTCTCGCATGCCGAAGCCTCGCCGACACGCTACCGGTCGTAAGAACGGATTGAGGCCGCTATCGATAGAAGACACCGATCCCGGCACGTCGGCGCGGGGAGTAGATGCGCCAGAGGAAGACGTGATAGTTAACGCAGCCCCGGATTCGGGTGTTATCGCATTTCGGGTCGAGGTAAATATTTACGGTCGATCTGTCAAAGCTCTCGTGGATTCTGGTGCTACCAGAACTTTCATAGGTCCCGGCTTAGTGAAATACCTAGGCGATCTCGGCAGACTAACCGTGCGAGTACCGCCACGCCGCGTGGTGGTCGCGAACACTGTCAAAGCTCTCGTGGATTCTGGTGCTACCAGAACTTTCATAGGTCCCGGCTTAGTGAAATACCTAGGCGATCTCGGCAGACTAACCGTGCGAGTACCGCCACGTCGCGTGGTGGTCGCGAACGGTCAGGTAGAAACCGTGGACACCGCCTCGGAGTTCTCGGCTATCCTGAACGGTCGTCAGACCAACGCTCTCGCCTACCACTTGAGTTCGCTCTCGGAAAATCTAATCCTCGGATTAGATTACCTACGCACCGCGAAGATAGTTGTCGACTTCTTTGCGGAGTCGTGGCATTTCCGCGACACCCCGAGGAAGCACTACTCGTTTGCTCTCGAGGGAGGCGTGCTGCACATTTCCATGTGCTGTGGTCTCCGCACTCCCGATACCGACGAGGCAAAACGCTTGGGCGAGTTCCTCGAAGCTCACGTACCGAAAGTTTCCGCCGAGTCGGCGGTCACCTCACTCGTTGCCCACCGGGTCGACGTGGGAGACAGCCCGCCGATCAAGCAGAGGCCGTATACCGTTACACCGATCATCCGTGACGTCATGTGGGCGGAGGTAGATCGGATGCTCGCGACAGACGTTATCGAGCCCTCGCAGAGTGATTGGGCGAATCCCGTTGTCATGGTTAAAAAGCCAAATGGCAAATATCGTTTCTGTATAGATTACAGAAAGGTTAACGCGGTCACGAAGAAGGATGCTTATCCCATCCCGAACATGACAGCGATTCTCGACGAGCTACGGCAGGCTCGATACATCTCGACTCTCGATTTGAGTCAGGCGTATTGGCAGGTTCCCATGGACCCGGGTTCTCGTGAAGTTACCGCATTCGTAGTACCGGGCAGAGGCTTGTTCCAATTTAAGCGGATGCCCTACGGTCTCACGAACGCTCCCGCCACGTTCCAGCGTATGCTGGATCGACTTATCGGCGCGGAGATGCACCCGCACGTTTTCGTTTACTTGGACGACATTATTATTGTCACCAAGACGTTCGAAGAACACTTAGTGTGGCTTCGAAAGGTTCTCGAAAATATCTCGAAGACCGGACTGGCCATTAATCGCGAGAAAAGCGAATTTTCACGGCACCGAGTTTATTAACCGGGACATACGCCAGTTTACCGAGCGTGTGGGGATACGGCACAGTACGACGCCGCCGTACCACCCTCAGGCTAACCCTACCGAGCGGGTGAATCGCGTGGTGAAAACCATGATCCACGCTTTTCTATCGTCACCCGATGGGGAGCACCCCGGGTTCTGCTCACGGACAACGGCACCGAGTTTATTAACCGGGACATACGCCAGTTTACCGAGCGTGTGGGGATACGGCACAGTACGACGCCGCCGTACCACCCTCAGGCTAACCCTACCGAGCGGGTGAATCGCGTGGTGAAAACCATGATCCGCGCTTTTCTGGACGGGAACCATCGCGAGTGGGACCGTCACCTGCACGAGTTCCGGTTTGCCTACAACACGGCATATCACAGCTCTCTTCAGGCGACGCCTGCGTTCGCGAATTTCGGTCGCGAACCGCTCCCGGCTTCCTCCTTACGGCGAACAGCGGAGGGAGATTCCGAAATCACTCCACGTCCTCCAGAGGAGTGGATGAGGCGTATGGCACGCCTGGATACCTTGCGGATGGCTTTCACGCACGCTCTCGACGAAGCTTTCCGGAGGCAATCCGAACAGTACAATCTCCGTCGCAGGGATCGTATGTTCGAGGTTGGGGATCTCGTCCTGCGAAGATCGCACGTGCTATCGTCGGCCGTCAGACATATATCTGCGGCCCTAGCACCTCCGTTCGAGGGGCCCTATGTGATCTCGAAGAAGTTATCCCCTATTCAAGGATGTGGTTGCTCACGTAAGACAGTGTGACACCTGTCAACACTGTACAGTAGAGTAGCAGGCTCCCGCAGGTCTAATGGGCCACCGAGTAATCGAACAGCCCTGGACAGTTATCGCTACGGATATAATGGGTCCGGTCACTCCCAGTACTACGGGGAGTGCATACGTTCTCGTTATCCAGGATCTCTACACGAAGTGGGTGGAAATCTGCCCACTACGGAAGGCCACGGGAGCCTCGATCGCGAAAGCTCTCGATGAAGTTATCGTCACCCGATGGGGAGCACCCCGGGTCCTGCTCACGGACAACGGCACCGAGTTTGTTAACCGGGACATACGCCAGTTTACCGAGCGTGTGGGGATACGGCACAGTACGACGCCGCCGTACCACCCTCAGGCTAACCCTACCGAGCGGGTGAATCGCGTGGTGAAAACCATGATCCGCGCTTTTCTGGACGGGAACCATCGCGAGTGGGACCGTCACCTGCACGAGTTCCGGTTTGCCTACAACACGGCATATCACAGCTCTCTTCAGGCGACGCCTGCGTTCGCGAATTTCGGTCGCGAACCGCTCCCGGCTTCCTCCGTGCGACGAGCAGCGGAGGGAGATCCCGAAATCACTCCACGTCCTCCAGAGGAATGGATGAGGCGTATGGCACGCCTGGATACCTTGCGGATGGCTTTCACGCACGCTCTCGACGAAGCTTTCCGGAGGCAATCCGAACAGTACAATCTCCGTCGCAGGGATCGTATGTTCGAGGTTGGGGATCTCGTCCTGCGAAGATCGCACGTGCTATCGTCGGCCGTCAGACATATATCTGCGGCCCTAGCACCTCCGTTCGAGGGGCCCTATGTGATCTCGAAGAAGTTATCCCGAGTGGTTTACAACCTCTCCGATCTCAACGGGCAACCGATGGGGAAGATTTCCATAAAGGACATCAAACCATACCGGCCGCCAGATGTCGACCGAACTGCAACTCAAGAGATGCAGGATCCCGGGGATGGACCGTAGCCCCGGCTACGCGGGCCACAAAACCCCAGCTCCCGAAGAAAAAAAAAAAAAATACACGAAGTGGGTGGAAATCTGCCCACTACGGAAGGCCACTGGGGCCTCAATCGCGAAAGCTGTCGATAAAGTTATCGTCATTCGATGGGGAGCACCCCGGGTTCTCCTTGCCATCGAGTAATCGAACAGCCCTGGACAGTTATCGCTACGGATATAATGAGTCCGGTCACTCTCAGTACTACGGGGAGTGCATACGTTCTCGTTATCCAGGATCTCTACACGAAGTGGGTGGAAATCTGCCCACTACGGAAGGCCACGGGAGCCTCGATCGCGAAAGCTCTCGATGAAGTTATCGTCACCCGATGGGGAGCACCCCGGGTCCTGCTCACGGACAACGGCACCGAGTTTGTTAACCGGGACATACGCCAGTTTACCGAGCGTGTGGGGATACGGCACAGTACGACGCCGCCGTACCACCCTCAGGCTAACCCTACCGAGCGGGTGAATCGCGTGGTGAAAACCATGATCCGCGCTTTTCTGGACGGGAACCATCGCGAGTGGGACCGTCACCTGCACGAGTTCCGGTTTGCCTACAACACGACATATCACAGCTCTCTTCAGGCGACGCCTGCGTTCGCGAATTTCGGTCGCGAACCGCTCCCGGCTTCCTCCGTGCGACGAGCAGCGGAGGGAGATCCCGAAATCACTCCACGTCCTCCAGAGGAGTGGATGAGGCGTATGGCACGCCTGGATACCTTGCGGATGGCTTTCACGCACGCTCTCGTTCGCATCGTTCGCTATCGGATTATCGTATTTTGCCTTCTCGTTCTAGGAGACCCCGGTCCCTGAAATAGTTCTCGATTTCGGTTCACGAGTAGAGTACGGCCAAAGGGGCTAGAAAACTAGCTCACGATCGTAACGTGCTCTCTATCGTCTCTCCCTATGGAGGTAAAACAGGTGATGAGTAGTCTAGTTACCGAGTTCTCGAGGTAATCATTAAACATATTCTCGCGTCTACGAATTATCAGGCAGCTCTCGCCTTATCCACCAAGTATTATTGTTTTCACTCTGTCTCGCTCTCGCTCACAGCGGTGGATAAGAATACTGGCTA